TGTGGTCTGCCTTGTTTGTGCAGTGGTTTGGGCGGGGTGACCCACAGAGGTCCCTGCCAACCCTGACCATGCTGGGATTCTGTGATACATGCACACATCTACCTGTACCAGCGCTCAAGGGCTCTGTATCTCCTCTTGGCCATGGATCCTAGGAATATCCCTTAGCAGATATAACTCATCCCATGTTTGAAGCTACAGAGTCTAGGTTACGAACATGGACCTCCATCACGGGCTTCCAGATAGCCCCAAGAATACATGCAAGTCAATGGTCCCTTCGAGGCAAGCAATTCCAACGGAACAGGGCGGGCTATCTTGCACCCTTGTGTTGATGACTACTCCAAAAATACTGCTAATATCTGGTGTCAGCCCCACGCTGGAGGCGGGCGCTGGGCTGGATGACCTGGCTCTGCTCCTGCCTGGACAATTCCGTGCTGCTTGCAGCAGGACCAAGCCTGGCCCAGGCAATGAGACGGAGCCAGGCACGGGCTGAAGGACGTGTTCGAGTCTGCTGCTGAGTCTTCACTCTGTGCTGAGCCTTTCATCACCCTGAATAAATCCAACAGCAAACTTGGGGGTGGGAATTCCTATGCTTGTGCCAAAATGAAGTAAATGAGAGACATTAAAGTCCAATTAAAAACTTGCTTGGCCTTAAATGCCTCATCTGTTTAAAAAGCAAGTAAAGGGGCCTGATTAATTGCATTTGGTGCCAACGAGAGGAATTATTACCCTTTTTGTACTCATTAAGGGTATCTGCTGTGGCATCTTTAATCACTAAGGCATTTAAAAGAGAGAAAGTAATTTGCTAAGACATAATGGATCCTGGGGATGAGGATCAGGACAATCGCCTATTTAGGACACAAAGACACGCTCTTACTTTCCACGATTAAAAAGGCACGGCCCAAATCAGCCCCTCAACCAGCAAATAAGCACGCTGGCCAGCTCTGCCTTGGTGAGGGGACTGCCCTGCACCCATCTGATGTCTCCAGGACAAGGACCGTGCCTGTCATCGCCCGACACGATTGCACACGGGACTAACAGCAAGCCAGGGGCTCCACTGCCGTCCCACCACGGGCAAACACGCTCTGTATTCCTGACCTTAACAACAAGGCTTCTTCCCCTCTCAGCGCGAGCCGGCAGCCCGACCAGGACCTACGAGAATTGCTGCTATACGAATGATAAAGTGGCCCCGTCACACATAATCCCTGCTGTCCTGTACCGTGAAGGTTGGCAGCGTCTGGGAAACGCATGCCTGCCTCTAAAGAGGCAGACTTCATCACAAGCTTTGCAAAATCATCTGCAAGCAACAGGA